CGACATAGAAAAATCCTGGACTTGATGACTTCTAATGAATACTACCAAACATTTAAAGAAGAATTAATCCCAATCCTCCTCAAACTCTTCCAAAATAGTTAAAGAGGAGGGAAGACTCTCTAACTCACTCTATGAGGCCAGCATTGCCCTAATACCAGAGCCAGACAAAGACACTGCAAGAAAAGAAAACCACAGAACAATATCCCTTATGAACACAAAAGTCCTCAATAAAATACCACCAAACTGAATTCAACAGCATATTAAAAGGATTATACATCATGACCAAGCAGGCTTTATTCCTGGAATGCAAGGATAGTTCAACATATGAAAATCAATTAATGCACCACATTAATAGAAAGACGAAAAATATCACATGATCATCTCAATTGATGTAGAAAAAGCATTTAACAAAATCCTACATCCTTTCATAGTAAAAATATTCAGAAAACTAAGAATACAGGGATTTTCCTCAACATGATAAAAGCCATATATGAAAACCCACAGCAAATGTCATACTCAATGGTGAAAGACTGAAAGCTTTTCCTGTAAGACCAGGAATGAGACAAGGATTCCCACTTTCACCACTTCTATCCAACATATTAATAGTATTAGAAGTTTTAGTCAGAGTAAGTAGGCAAGAAGAAGAAATTAAAGATATCCAAATTGGAAAGGAAGAATTAAAATTATCTCCATTCATAGGTGACATGATCTTATGTGTAGAAAGTTCTAAATATTCTACTAAAAAACTGTTAGACCTAATATACAAATTCAGCAAAGTTTCAGGATGCAAAATCAACACACAAAAATCAGCTGCACTACTACACACTAACAATGAACAATCTGAAAAGAAAATTAAGAAAACAGTTCCTTTTATTATGGCATCAAAAAGAATGAAATACTTAGGAATTAACTTCACCAAGGAAGAGAAAGACTTGAACAGTGAAAACTACAAAATATTGCTGAAAGAAATTAAAGGAGACATAAATAAATGAAAAGCCCTCCTCCTGTGTTCATGGATTGGAAGACAATATTGTTAAGATGACAATACTACCAAAGCAATCTACAAATTCAATACAATCCCTGTCATAATCCCAATGGCATTTTTTAAGAAATAGAAAAATTCATACTAAAATTCATATGGAATCTCAAGGGAACCTAAATAGCCAAAACAATCTTGACAAAGAAGAACAAAGTTTTAAGAATCATGCTTCCTGATTTCAAATTTGACCACAAAGCTACAGTAATCAGAGCAGTATAATACTGGCATAAGGACTGAACATGGACCAACGGAACAAAATAGAGAGCCCAGAAAAGAACCCTCATATGTATAGTCAAATGATTTTTGACAAGGCTGCCCAAACCATTCAATGGGGAAAGGACAGACTTTTCAACAAATGGTGCTCAGGAAACTGGATATCCACATGCAAAGGAATGAACTTAGAGCCTTACCTAACACCATATATAAAAATTAACTCAAAATGGATCAAAGACCTAAATGTAAGACCTAAAGCTATAAAACTCTTAGAAGAAAGATAGGAAAAAACTTCACAACGTGGGATTTGGCAGTGATTTCTTGGATACGACCCAAAGGCACAGGCAACAAAAGAAAAAAACAAACAAATTAAACTTCAAGAATATTAAAAATTTTTGTACATCAAAGGACACTATCAACAGAGTAAAAAGGCAACCCACAGAAAGGGGGAAAGTGTTTGCAAATTACATATCTGACAAGGGATTGCTATCCAGAACATAGAGAGAACTCTTAAAACTCAACAACAAAAAACCAATCTAATTCAAAAATGGGCAAAGGACTTAAATAGACATTTCCCCAAAGAAGACATATAAATAGCCAATAAGCATGTGAAAAGATGCTCAGCATCACTAATCATCAGAGAAATGCAAGTTACAACTACAGTGAGATACCACTTCACACCCACTAGGATAACTATTATTAAAAAAAAAAAAACAGAAAAAACAAGTGTTGGTGAGATATGGAGAAATTGGAACCCTTGTGTGCTGCTGGTGGGAATGTAAAATGGTACATCAATTGTGGAAAACAGTATAAAGAGTCCTTAAAAATTAAAAATAGAATTACCATATGATCCAGCAATTCCACTTCTGGGAGAATTGAAAGCAGGGACTCAAACACTCATGTTCACAGCAGCATTATTCACAATAGCCAAAAGGTGGAAGCAACCCACATAGCCAGTAACAGGTGAATGGATAAACAAAATGTGGTATATATGCATAATGGAATATTATTCAACCTTAAAAAGACAGGAGATTCTGACACATGCTACAACATCATGCGAAGTGAAATAAGACAGTCACAGAAGGACAAATATTGTATGATTTCACTTATATGAGGTGCCTAGAATGGTCAAACTCATAGAGACAAAAAGTGGTGGAATGGTGCTTGCCAGGAGCTGGAGGGAGGGGAGAATGGGGAGTCACTGTTCATTAGGTATAGTTTCAATTTTGCAAAAAGGAAAGAGTTATGGAGATGGATGGTGGTGATGGATAATATGAATGTACTTAATATCACACTGAACTGTAAACTTGAAAATGGTTAAAATGTATCCTGAACAACATAGCGAGACCCCATCTACACAAAAAATAGAAAAAATTAGCCAGGCATGGTGGCAAGTGCCTATAGTCTCAGCTACTTGGGAGGCTGAGGCAGGAAGATCGCTTGAGCCCATGAGTTTGAAGCTGCAGTGAGCTATGATGATGCCACTGCACTCCACCCTGGGCAACAGAGTAAGACCAAGGGAAGGGAAGGGAAGGGAAAAAGAAAACTCTTTATTACCTAAAACTCTTTTTCAAAAAATAATTGGTTAAGATGGTAAATTTTACATTACGTGTATTCTGCTACAATCAAAAATTCAAAAAAAAAATAAATTTTTAAAAAGCAGTAAGAAACAAACATCTCCAACAGAGAAATAAACAAAAGACAACGACATAAAATTTCAGTGGAGTCTTGGAGAACATCACCTCCTTCCTTCTTCTTTTTTTATTTTTTATTTTTTTGAGACAAGGTCTCCCTCTGTTGTGTAGGCTAGAGTGTAGTGTCGTGAACATAGCTCACTACAACTCCAAACCACTGGGCTCAAGCAATCCTCCTGCCTCAGCCTCCTGAGTAGCTGAGACTACAGGCATGTGCCACCACACTCTGCTAATTTTTTGCTAATTTTTCTATTTTTTGCAGAGACAGGGTCTCGCTATGTTGGTCAGGCTGATCTCGATCTCCTGGTCACAAGCAATCCTCCCATCCTCCCACCTTGGCCTCCCAAAGTACTAGGATTATAGGCATGAGCCACCGCGCCCAGCCACACCTTCCCTCTTGCTCTCAGGGCCCTGGGGACTATCTATGCCTCAGCCCTGTGATGCAACCCCCAGGGCTTCTGCAGCTAGGACGGTCACTCTGTGACACTTGCTGGCTTCCCCGCCTGCTCTCCTCCGTATGGGCACTGGAAGATGCGATTCTGAGCCATCTGCTCTCCTTTCTCATCTCACTTTTAGGACCCCCGGGCCAGTATCACCTAAGATCTTGCCCCAGCCGACCCCACTCAGCCCTGCCATCAGCTGCGGGCCCGGCTGCTCCCTCCGGGGCTCCTGCCAGTGCCCAGACCCTCACCCAAACCTCCATCACAGCTCCCCAGAGAGGTCCTAGGCAGTGCCCTCCCTTCTCCCCGGAGCCTGGTCACACAGTGTTTCTGAGACTTTGCTGTCTGTGGCTCCCTCTCAGCCACCAGCCCATGCCACTTCTGGTCCACATCCAGACCAGCAGCAGGTCCAACCTCAGCTGACGCATCGTGTCATACACTCTCTGGCCCAGGCCTGGCAATCAGGACCCTCCCCCACCATGCTCCCTGCCTCCAGCTTGTCCCCCACTCCTGCCCCACCCCCATGGCCACTCCCACACCCAGGAAGCACACCTCGGCTCACCCCAGCTTCCCACAGGTGAGTCTGTCACCGCCTTCCTCTGCAAATCCTATGTGATCTTAGAGGTCCCTTCTAAAGAGGACTTTCCTTCCTCTGAGCCCCTGCCCGCCCGGGGCCCCAGGCCTGGAGGGTTCGCAGTGCTAAGCACAGGGCAGGCGCTCAGCAAGGTGTTGACAGTCATCGCACGTGGACAGCCCCCCAGACGCCTGGGACATCACTCTTACTGTGGCCTGGGGCTGGTACTTGACTCTTGCACCTTTCATACACAGATGTGGCTTCTTTCCCTAGGTCCACGGGGGGCACTTCCAAGGTGACAAGCAATTCTGGACGGCCAGCCACGCCCCTGGCCCACGTGGCCCCACCTGCTGGGTGCTGTTACTTCTCCCGGAATCCCAGGGGACTAAGGTCTGGGAAGGCCCCAGGCTCACCGTGGGCAGGGCCAGCTCCTGGTCTAATCCCACGTTGGTTTGGCACATGAAGTAGAGACACACTCCAAACAGGGCCAGAAACAGCAGCAGCTGAGGAGGGAATTGCTGCATGAGAACCTCCCTGCCCAACTGCACCCCCATCTTCCCTCAGATTTGAGTAGGACACGCTTTGGAGCTGGGCAGATTTGAGTGCCAGCCCCTGGACCTGGCAACCTCTCCACCCCCAACCCTGCTCTTCCTGAGGTGAAGTCCCCACGTAGTCCCCCGTCCTCGTGTGGTTCGAGACCCACTCACCACGACCGCGCGGGTGAGCCAGTGCAGCAGGAAGGGGGCGTAGACCTTGCGGAAGAAGCAGAGCAGGGGCCCCTCGTTCTGGCCAGGTGGGGGCAGCTCCCGGGGCTTGATGCAGCAGCAGAAGTCCTTCCGGGACGCCTGGAGGGGGAGGTAGCCCCTCAAGGTGGCCCCAGAGCAGACCCCAGGGACTGCCTCCCCACCCTGGGGAGTGCCACCTTCTGTGAGTGGCCTGTGCCCACAGTGCTCACGGGAAAATGCCAGTGTGATATTTGCTTTTATTTTCTATCTTGATAAAATATCTTTGAATTTTACACCATCACAGAAGCCACAGTTCGACTCCTCGAACAACCAGAGTTTGAACTGCACAAGTCCATTTATATGCAGATTTGCTTCCAGCTGTGCCACCCTGAGAAAACAAAACCAACCCCTCCTCCGCTCCTCCTCCGCCTGGAATGGGAAGAATGGAGACCAGGCGATCCACTTCCACCTAGTGAACAGTAAATATATTTTCTCTTCCTTATTTTCTTAATACATTTTCTTTTCTCTAGCTTTCTTTATTGTAAGAATGTGGTATATAACACAGACAACACACATAATATGTGTTAATCACCTGTCATTGTTAAGGCTTCAGGTCAACAGAAGGCTAGTAGTAGCTAAGTTTTAGAGGAGTCAAAAGTGACATGCAGATTTTCGACTGCTCACAGGGCCAGCACCCCAACTATGCATTGTTCAAGGCTCAACTGTATTGTATTTGTCAACCTCATGTACTTTAGGAGGTTCGATCATATTTCCAAAAATTGCCAAAACGAAATTATTTTTCTGTAGGAAATTGGGGAATGCATGGCCCGAATATTTCACTCCCAGTATGGTGCCCCTACCCCTACCCCACTCTCTGAGCCACCTCTGTGGCACTGAGGCCACCCTATCTCCCTGCCAAGGTGGAGACCCAGAGGCAGGTCCCTTGGTCCTGGCCCAGCTGCCCCTACCTCCTGCCTCTTGCTATCCAGGGAGAGCAAGGCCACGAAGGCAGACATCTGCAGCAGGAAGTCGAAGAGCACAGCAAGGCCGGAGGTCAGGGCAAAGGTCCGCACAGCTGGCATGGGGGTCAGGGCCCCTGTTGGGGGGCAGAAGGCTGTCAGGGCACTCTGGCTTCAGGGGCAGAGTGGAAGCCTACACAGACAGGGTGCAGAAGGAAGGGAGTCTGCCCTGTGCCCACTGCCCTCTGAGAACTCCTGGGCCCCTGCACTAACCCAACAGGCCCAGCACCTGGGTGGGGAGGATCTGCCCCGGGCTCACCTAGGAAGAAGCAGATGGCCTCAGAGAGGCTGCACAGCAACATGCTGGGGGCCACTCTGCCCAGGGCTCGGCCAATGTGGACCTCCCGCTCCTCCCCAGGCCTCCGAGGCAGCCTCTGTGTGGGAATAGCAGGGATAGAGTCCAGAGCCCACCAAAGGTGCCATCCCATGACAGCCAGCAGGGAGCTGGCAAGTGCCCAGAGAGGAATTACTCTGTCCTTCCAGAGTTGGGAACAGACTCTAACACTCTCCGCGGACACACTTTCTGCTTCCAGGATCTGGCCTGGAGAAATGCTCAGTTCGTTCGTTCATTTGGGATGTCTATAGCATCCCTATTCCAAACATCACTGGAACCCTAAATATTCACAGGAGGAGGCTAAATTGATTATGATTTGTCCTTATTTTGGAATGCTAAATGTACTAACGTGGAAAGCTTTTACCAGTTGTTGCATGGGGTTAAATTCCAGATGACTCAGACAGAATGAACTCATTTATGTCAACACATTCCTTTTTTTTTGTTTAAATGGAGACAGAGTCTCACTATTTTACCCAGGCTGGGCTCAAACTCGAAATCCTCTTGTCTCAACCTCCTGAGCAGCGGGGATTACAAGCATGTGTCACTGCACCTGGTTAACACGCTCCATTTTCAGGTGTTATACTACAGGTGTTATAAAGCTGTCAATGCATAGAAAAAGTCTGGAAGAAGATCTAGCAAATTGATGCTGGGGTTCTATCTAGCCAGGAGGCGGGCTTAGGAGTGAAGGGTACAGTTGAGGGTGTAGAGAACTCCTCCCTTCTTACCTGGTACTCGAGAACAAAGATGAAGATGTTGTCGGCCCCCACAGCCAGCACCAGGAAAGGCACTACTTGGAGGATGATCAAGGAGGAGCGGACACCCAGGTAGGAGAAGAAGCCCATGGCAGCCATGACCGATCCCAGCACCACGGCCACCCCGCCCAGGCCCAGCGTGGCCTTGGAGTCCACCTGCAATGCAACTAATCTCAGCCCCTGGCCACCAGGAGACCTGCCCAATATGCCCCCCAGTGCAGGCTTGGGGGGAAGTGGGCAGCAGGTGGGCACTCTGGGTGCACACAGGTGCTCGGTACTGCTACCAGCAGCAAGTTCACATCTCAGGAAGCCCCTCCGCAGAGCCATGCTCCCAAGGGCCGGCCCAGGAACCCAAAGGCACAGGCGAGCCTGCTGCAAATTCTTCAAGCACGCGTTGCAAGAGATTTTAAATATTAGCTTTGCATTTGGATGAGTGGGAGTATGTCAGGTAACAAAGAAAACTGCTCCTGATCTTCAACACAGAACACTTCCAAGAAACATCGCCCTTTTGGGGAGCCACTTATGGTTGTGTCCACTTTGCTGCCTCGAGGTGCTCCGGTTACGAAAGTTTAAGAAGGCCTGCTAGAGATGTCTGTCGCCCTGGGCCAGCCCACCTCACCACATCCGTCCCACTTCTCACCAGCACTCGGCTGCAGTGGGAGTAGCTGCCCAGGGCCAGGGAGATGTATAGGAAGATGACCAAGTAGCTGACAGCGAAGATGGGCAGGTCCTCGGCCGTGGTGCGGTTGATCTCATCCTCCAGAGAGCGCTGTGGACACACACCCAGCCAGCCCCACTGACCGCACCTGCTCCAGCGAGGCCGGCTCGCAAGAGCTAGGTCACTGGGCACCGACCGTGCTGTGGCTCACGCTGCCCCATGGCCTGTTGTAAGCCCTGGTGAGGCTTCAGGAACAGCTATCACCAACACCCCAATCTGAGCGGCAGTGCCCAGGGTCACTCAGGAAGGGGCAGGGCCAGAATGGGGACACAGGAACTGACTCAAGAGCACGTGGGCTGCACCCCCAGGAACCCAACAGCCCCTACCTCGGCCATGAATGTGACCTGTAACTTTCCGGCCATCCGACTCTGGAAGGCTCGCATCTCCTCCAGGAAGGCCTCCTCCCAGAGCTTGGCCTGGGCCAGACGGGGGTCCCCCTCAGGGTAATTGTTGAGGGAGAACGTCATGATCAGGGCCTCTGCCTCAGAATAGTCCTTCCCTGGGATAAGAAATGTTCAGCCTCCTCAGCTGTACCCCTGCCTCCCTCTCCCATTCTAGCTGCATCCCTATCTCCCTCCCTTCTTCCAGACACATCCCTGCACTCCTCCCTCCCTGCTCCTGCTCCTCGCCTCCTTCCTCATCCAAGCCATGGCCTTACCCCCTACACCCCACTTCTCTCAGCCACAGGCAAGACCTCTGGGCCCAGGCATGAAACCAGGGCACCTGAGCAGCACTGCGAGAAGCCGAAGGAGGTGGCAGAGAGGAGGCAGGATGGCGTGGCCTGCAGCTTCCATCGGCCAGGCCGCCCCAGGCTACGGGAACCCCATCACCACTCCCACCCTCCTGCCTATTATACCTGCCCTAACACTGCACCTTCCTTGGCCTTCGCTCTCGGCGCACTCATCTTACCTTTGTACCCACCCACGGCAAGGAAAGGGAAGATGGGGGCCCCGTAGTCAGCCATGCAGCTCAGGGCCAGGGCCGTGCCGTCTTTGAAGGTGAGGGGGGCACTGCAGGGAGACAACCACAGAGGGAAGGGGCCTTTCTTGGCCCTGCCCAGTCCTTATGGCCCCCGCCCCTCCCAGACTTGCCCCTGGCCCATAGAACCATGGAGGGTGAGCTGGGGGCACCGGCTGCAGATAGCCCGGCCCCGTGGGTCCTAAAGGGCTTCCTTGCAACAAGATCTCATACAGGCCCCAACCCAGGGAGTGGGCCAGAGCCGTCCCAACTTCTTCCCGTGTGGCAGGCAGGGGCTGCTCCAGGCACCACCCAGCCCCACCCTCCAGACCCCGTCTCTGTCTGGTTCCCAGATGGGGAAGGCAGATGGAACATCACCACCGAAGGTCCCATGAGGGTAGGGCAGCCGGGATTTGGGCTGCAGAGGCTGGCATGGACTGTCTCAAACGCTGTTCTTAACCTCCTTCTCCCACCTGGGGCCCCAATTTGAGTTCAGATTTGGGGCCCTGGAGCCCAGGAGCCAATGTGCCCATAGTATACCAGCCCAGTGCCCTCAGGCAAGTCTGCATGCCCTTCAACTTAGCCCTTTCTGCAAAGCGCATGGCTGCGAAGATGCAGTGGGATACCTGGGCAAAGCTCTGTACGTGCCATTCTCAGCTCTGCCTGCGCGAGGGCATCAGTCACCAGCTATTCCTGGGAGTGCTGGCTGCTGTGTGACCTTGAGCAGCTCACCGCACCCCTCTGAGCCTCAGTTTTCCTATCTGTGAATTGAGGGGAACTGGACCACCCAAGAATTGTTGTGAGCACCCAAAACCAAAATAAAGATAATGCACGAGGACTGTACACCTGCAATCAGACATAAGTCTGGGGTCAGACCACCAGTGCCTCCCTGGAGCAACCAACAGCTCCTCTCTGTCCTGCCATTCCTGAGGGACAGCCCCTGGCTTCATGGCACAGACACTCCAAAAAGCAGCCCAAACTTGGGGGCTCAGCTGAGCGGGGAGAGCCAGGTACTAGGAGCAGAGAGCAATGGCTCCCTCATCTAACCTAGTGGTTTTCAAAGTGTGGCCTGGGGCCCTCAGGAGTCCCGAGACCCTTTCAAAGGTCTGCAAGGCCAAAACTGTTTTCATCATGCAGGAAGACCCTGTGATGACACAGTGAGAAGATGTCCATCTACAAGCCAATGAGAGAGGCCTTAGAAGAAACTAACTCTGTTGGCCGGGCGTGGTGGCTCACGCCTGTAATCCTAGCTCTCTGGGAGGCCGAGGCGGGTGGATTGTTTGAGCTCAGGAGTTCGAAACCAGCCTGAGCAAGAGCGAGACCCCGTCTCTACTAAAATTAGAAAGAAATTAATTGGACAACTAAAAATATATAGAAAAAATTAGCCGGGCATGGTGGTGCATGCCTGTAGTCCCAGCTACTCGGGAGGCTGAGGCAGGAGGATCGCTTGAGCCCAGGAGTTTGAGGTTGCTGTGAGCTAGGCTGACACCACGGCACTCTAGCCCGGGCAACACAGTGAGACTCTGTCTCAAAAAAAAAAACAAAAACAAAAACTAACTCTGTTGACACCTTGGTCTTAGACTTCCAGCCTCTAGAACTGTGAGAAAATAAATTTCTGCTGTTCAAAAAAACAAAAAATAACGTTTTCATAATAACATTCAGATGCTACTTCCCTTTTTAACTCTCATTTGCTCTTGAGTGTAGAGTACAAAAAGTTACTCAGGACCTCTGCTAGACTTCAACCTCACAGAGTCCCCTCATGCCTGCCCTCACACTCGGCCCCTCGCCCAGTGACCTTGTTGGTATCTTGTTTGCACCATGCAACGGCCACGTGCAAACCTGCTACAGCAGGTAGGCACTCTCCTCCCAGGGAGAGTGGGAGTGGGAGAAGGGGTGGAGATAATTGGGCACATGGCTGTCCCAGGACAGCGCTGCGTGCCCAGGAGGAGTCCAGGAGGCCACAGCAGCGCCCTCCACGCCACTCCTCTGCCTGGGCCCCGCCGAGGACTCACTTGGCGCAGTAGAGAAAGTGGTCCCTCCAGTCGACCTGGGAGGTCTGCCCCGTCAGCGTCTGGTTGGCCGTGAGCAGCAAGAGGGTGCGGTTGCTCTGGAAATACTGCAGGAGGCTGTTGATGCAGCAGTCGGAGAGACTAGTGTTGTGGGGGTTGAGGGGGGCGTAGCAGATGTCCTGCAGAGAGACGTTGCGCTGCGCCTCGGGCGACCACACCTGGAGGTGCCGCAGCCTCTCCTGCAGCTCCAGCAGCTCCAGCAGCAGGTCCAGGGCCAGGATCCCACTGAAGTTCTTGGGCCCCAGCAGCAGGGAGTCATACCTATAACTGGACCGGTTAGGAGCCGTCAGGATCACCTGGTTGGTTCGGAAGAAGGGGCCAAAATGCTGGTCGTGGAAAGCCTTCTCACTCCGGGCTTGGCTGTTGGGGGCCGACCACAGCTCCACAGGGTCTGTGGTGAGTTCCACGTGGGCCAGGCCGGATGCCAAGGCTACCACCAACATGGTGGACAACACCAGGATGGTCACCGGCCATGAGGCCACCCACGTGCCCCAGCTCTGGAAGAACTGGCCAAGGATGGTGTGGGTGGAGAGCTTGGGCTTGTCGGGGAGGCTGGTGCCCTCCTTGGGATCCACTGTTTTGCCTTTGTCCTTGTTGGAGGCCACACGGCGGTGCACGAGGAAGATGGTGAGCAAGGCAAAGATGGAGCAGATGATGATGATAACGGCTAGGGCGCCTGGCATCCGGCCCAGGCGGAAAGTGGAGTCCAGGGGCTGAGGGCGAGCTATGACAGGGCAGGATGCAGCACAGTCCTGGCAGGAGCAGGCCGTAGCGTCTTCACCTTGGGACTCATTGCAGGGCACAACCTCCTCATTCAGAGGCTGCATCCCACTCCCCAGGGCCTGGCCGGGCTCGCAGAGGTGGAAGGTGATGGACAGTGGGGCCAGGCCATTTCCTGTGTCTCCCTGGAAGTCCAGCCAGCGCTGGGCATTGCACAGGGCGGAGCCGTACACGCCGCACATGGTGCTCACGGCTAGCGAGGCAGCCGCAGGGATGCGCACGCGGCTGCAGGACTCGTAGGTCTGCTCTGCAAAGCTGCGCTGGTAGAAGGCCTCGTAGGCCACCACAGCGGGGGGCTGGCCAGCCCCTTGTTGGGCCACGCGGGTCACGTTGACGAAGAGGCTCTGGTTGGGGCTGCAGATGTTGTGGCAGTGCAGGCTCACGAAATTGTTGGAGCAGGCCGGGCAGCGGGTGAGCAGGGCCTTGGTGAGGGACATGCTCGTCTCCAGTGACACCAGCTGCTTGGCGGAGCAGCAGGCTTGGGTGGTGTCGGGGCCGGTGTAGAGGCGGGGACAGATCCTCTGTAACAGGGCCAGGTGTTCGCCCGTGATGTTGCGGGCGGGTGTGTTGGACAGGCAGGACACGTTGGACAGTGACATGAGGCCTCCAGACAGCTCTGGGTTCTTCCCACATTCATCGTAGAAAGTGCAGTAGCCGGGCTGGTGGATGGGTGTGTACAGCTCGCTCTGGGCCTGCGGAGCGCAGCAGCGTCATTCCTGGGCTCTGACGCCAGTCGGCACAGCCAGCCGCTGGCCAGGCAGCAGGCAGCCAGGAAGGGTGTGGGGGTAGGAAGGACATGGAATGGTGGCAAGGGAAGGGACAGTGGGAGTAGGGAGCCTCCTGGGGGTGTGTGCCAACTGGTGTTGGAGTGACAGGTGAACGGCACAGTCAGGCTTTTCTTCCTGAGGGTGATATGGTCACTGAAGAGAAGGAGGTGACCTGCAGCTTAGGAAGGCCATGCTGGAGAGGCCTGGGGATTGGAGGTGATGCCAAGGTGCCTGGTGGGTGCCAGGCTCTGCCCACACTGCAGTCAGCCTGCACCCTCACACTGCATGCCACAGCCAGAGGCCAGGGTCTCCGCAGGAGCCCCCCACACCACCACCTGCTTGAGGCCAAATGCCGCCAGCCACCTCCCAGACGTGGGAGTGCGCGAGGAACTTAAGAGGCAAAGGCCCTGGACGGCCTTCCTATCCCCAGGACGCTCAGTCCTCTCCAGGTGATGCCCGCCAGAAGCCCACCCCCAGCACCTCTTTGACCCAATCTTCCCTTGTCTGCAGGCCAGGACCCCCCAGCAGGGCCAGGGAGGGAGGGCTTTGAAGCACCCCATTCCCGTGCCTCTCCCCAACCCTGTGTCCATTCAACCCCATGACATGGAGACCCACCACCTACACCCTTCCTCTGGGGGGAGCTGGGATCCCTTGTGCGTCCAGAGACTAGCCTGGCCCCCAGGCCCTGAGGCCCTTTCTTACTGTCATCCAGCAGCCCCTGCCTGATATCCCGCTGGCCCCCAGGGCCCCCATGGGAGTCAGTGGACACAGCACTGGGACTCACCAAGTGCAGGAGCAGGGTCCAGAGCAGCCAGCCCCTCAGGCCAGCCTCTGCCATGCTGGGTCCACAAGGGTCAGCAGGGAGCGGGGCCAGGCCTCGGGCACAGCCAGGGACAGCCGAAGTCTGACCACACATTAAGGCAGCCTCCTCCCACTCGATGACATCCCTGGCTTGACTGGGTTGGGGACCAATGGGGCTGAGCCCTGCTAGTTAATGATCCACTTGCTCTTGTCTCTCCCACTGTTGGGCCCTAATCCATGGGCCCTCCTTTTAGATGAGCCTCTTTGTGGGGGTGCTGGGTTTCCACCCACTTCCCAAAGCAACCAAAGCCAGAGGGCAGAGCCAGCTGGGGGAGAGAGCAGCTCTTAGCCCCTTCTTGGCCTCTGCTGGCGTTGGCACCAGGGCCTGGAGATGCAGGCAGAATCAGCCACTGGCTGGGCTCCAGCCTCAGGGGCTCGGCATGGCCCGGACCGCCCTGCCCTCCCTGCCTCAGCCTCAGACCCTCACTCTGCCCCACCCTCTCTTGGGACCAGGGCCAGCTGGGCTCAGACGCACCCTCTGCACTGCCATCCTTAGCAACTGTTGTTAGTTAATATTAACAGCCTGATAACAGGACAGTTAGGGTGGACTGACACACTGACAAAAGTCCCTCTTCCAGGCAGCAAAGAGAAAGAACAGTTCACACCAGGGCCTGACAGTTGACAAAGATCCCAGATGTCATAAGACTCTCCTCTGCTCACCTTGCCCTTCTTCCCCCTCCTCTTGTTCCTCTCTCTTGTCCCTTGTCCAGGACTGTCCCACCAGCCCACCCTGGCAACAGGCAGGGTGTGACTGGGAACCCTGAGCAGCAGCCCTGCCCCACCTGGCCGAGAGGTATGGTAAACACCTTCTGCTCCCTCCTGATAGGAATCTTGAAGCCTCCCTTGGGCTCTCACTATCACCAGGATGGGCCATGACCTTGGTCCCCATTGCCAAGGCCAAACCCCGATAACCTATTGGGAGTATCTCCTCCTTGTTGCCCAGCATGGCTGTCTCTTGTGTTCTGTGGACCCTGGCCTGACTCAGAGGGGAGCCACCCAGGCTCATGCAAGGGAAGACAGAGGCAGAGGGGAAGGGGGTTAGGGAAGGGTCAGGCTGCCCCCCCTGAGACAGCCATGATGGAGAAGAGATTGCAGCCCAGGGCCTGCCCCACCCAGCACCTTCCTGGCACTGCTCCCTACTCCTTGGCTGACAGATACCGACACTCCAGCACCCATGAAGCTGGTCTCTCTCTGTCTTCTGTTCTTGGTGCTGTCATCCAGGTCTCCTAGAAACAGACAGACACTGAAACAAGGATCCCAGTGCACGTAGTTTCTTTGGGGGTGACTGAAGATGATAGCAGTAGGTGAGTGGGGAATGAGCCAGAGGACAGAAGGAAGGTGACCAGGTGTGTTCAAGAGCTGCTTCTGTCCCTGAGGACATCCAGGAGCTGGTGGGGACATACTTCAGAGGATCCTCTCCAAGGAATAAGGGTGCAGGCACTTTGCTACCACCTCTATCAGTCACCGGTTGAGGGCATTCATGGAAGCCTTAGCCCCAGCACATGTGGCCAGCACACTTCAGGTTGAGAGCCCTTGGACAGGGCGATGGGCCCTTGCAGCACGAAGTCACTGTTGGCATGCACGGAGGCTGCGAGTGCCAAGGCGAGCGGGGCCCAGCTCCAGCACCTGCTGCAGTGGGCGCAGGGCCCACCGCGTCCCTCATACATTTGCTCCTTCGGAGGCTGCCCAGGCTGGGGCACTGGAGCCCAGCTGTGCCCAGCCCAGCTCAGATACATGATCTCCTGGAGTCTTTTCTAAAACCCAAACAGTGTGAGAACAGCACAATCCAACTTGGAATAAAAGATGAAATCTTACCACCCCACTGCCTGTGCAGTCGTCCCTCCCAAGCCTCGCCTCTGGGCGCATGTGCTGAGTTGTACACTCATGTAGCCTGCTTTTTATCTTGACTTTCAACATAAATACCACTGCCTTCAATCTCTGACAGCACATTTATCACTGGATTGTGATGCACAGGGCAGATGGATCTTCCACTCTTCTAGTGCTCAACGTTGGGCTGGTCTCCTATATGTCATCATTATAAATAAGTTTCTGGTTAACTTCGTTGTGCCTAATGATGTTTCTTCTCTGTTTTTTGGATTTATGTCCTTAAAACAAGTTCCCAGAAATAAGATTTTTGAGTCAGACTACAATGTTTACAATTTTTTTCTTCTTTTTTTGTCCTCTGTTCTGGAAGTTTATGATTTTTTTTTTTTTTTTTTTTTTGAGACAGAGTCTCGCTTTGTTGCCCAGGCTAGAGTGAGTGCCGTGGCGTCAGCCTAGCTCACAGCAACCTCAAACTCCTGGGCTCAAGCAATCCTTCTGCCTCGGCCTCCCGAGTAGCTGGGACTACAGGCACGCGCCACCATGCCCGGCTAATTTTTTTTTTCTATATATATATTTTTAGTTGTCCAGATCATTTCTTTCTATTTTTTAGTAGAGACAGGGTCTCGCTCTTGCTCAGGCTGGTCTCGAACTCCTGACCTTGAGCGATCCACCTGCCTCGGCCTCCCAGAGTGTTGGGATTACAGGTGTGAGCCACCGCGCCCAGCCTGGAAGTTTATGATTCTTAAGGCACAGCTCACCATCTCTTCCCCAAGGCTAATCTAGGATTTATTGGATAATTATCAGATTTTCAATTATTAGTATCTGGTGAAAGGTTGGTGCCAACCCTGGATGATGAGCACAGTGACTTCCTGAGGCCTGGGACTCTTCCCACTGACACCAGCCGCAGTCTCGCCTTCAGCATGTATCATATTTGTTATTGGATTCACTAATTTAATAACTGCTAAATGATACCTCATTTTTAACTTTCTTTTACTAATGGTAAGGCTGATATTAATAAATAAGATATGCCTGAAATGTGGCTACTCCACGCAGAGCCAGAACTAGAGCTAAACCATCACTACTTCCCAGGCAGCCCTCTGTGGTCAGGTCTGGGGTGGATGCCTGACATAGTCTGCCCCAGGTAAGTCCCATGTAGACGAGCCCTGGAGACATCAAGATCATTCACCGGCTCACTGTTCTGTACTCAACGGCATTCAGAGAGTTTGGGGGCCTGGGCTGAGAGGAAGGGCAGGCGGCACTGGTAAGCCCGTAACTCAACCTGGGCCACAGGTCCCTTGGCTGGGTCTGTGTGCAACACCTTGACTGGTATGGATGTGAGTAACATCCCTAACTTTTGGCTCTTTAGGGTAACCAGTCTGCTAGTGGCACCTCTGCCTTCCTTACCATCAGAACCTGGACTCTATTTGGTGAAGGATTTTGCCCACAGTTCAGGTGAGAGAGACTGTTCCCCACTCTCCCAGCCCTCTTTGCAGCTAGCGGTAACCATGTGGGCTGGTTCTGGCCCATGTGAAGGCTTTCTCTTTCCTCATTAAAGGAGATGTGTGCAGCTGTCATGGTACTGTAGTCTTCCCCACTTTTCGCTGCCCTAGACAGATGGAATGTCTGGAGCTATAGCAACCATCTTGTGGTCCTGAAGCACCAAACATAAGGAGAAGGTCAAGCTTCAGAAAATGCCACTGGGATGTGGGAGTGGTGGCTCATGCCTGTAATCCTAGCACTTTGGGAGGCTGAGGTGGGAGGACTGCTTGAGACTAGGAGTTCAAGACCAGCCTGGGCAACATAATGAGACCCTGTCTCTACAAAATATTTTAAAAATTAACCAGGCATGATAGTGCACACCTGTAGTCCCAGCTATTTGGGAAGCTAAGGCAGGAGGATTGCTTGAGCACAGGAGTTCAAGGCTGCAGCAAGCTATCATTGTGCCACTGCACTCCAGCCTGGGCAACAGAGCAAGACCCTGTTTCAAAAAAAAAAAAAATGCCACTGGGAGTGATATCAGCAAAATGGTGGACTAGAAAACTCCAAGCTCTCATTACCCCACAGAAACACTGAAAAAATAAGCAGAATTGTTAGAAGCAACTTTGTGAGAGCTCTGGAAAACAGACAAATATCTATGGCAACTAAGGAAACAATTTTTTTAAAAGCTATCTTCAAATAGTAGGGAAGTTTTGTGGTGTTTTTACTCACCCTTGCCCCAACCCTCCCCAGCATGGCAGCAGTCTTGTCTTGAAGTAACAGTGACACAGGCCCCAATTCCCTCCCTCGACCCAGAGTAAGCAGAGCGGGCCTTATTGGAAAATTATTGTGTACATCTGTTCTAACCTTTCTGGGGGACACCTAAAGTACTGATGCAAGATGCTCTCCCTGTTGCCTAAAGTAAGCCACAGAAAAGATGGCTGGGGCGAGATATTATAGGTGGAAACATACAATAGACCATCTTAGGTCCAGAGGAGAAGCTTGGAAAATTAGAACATTCAAAAGCAGCAATGTAGCACTTTGGGAAGGTGAGGTGGGAGGATCACTTGAGGTAAGAAGTTCTAGACCAACTTGGGCAACATAGTGAGACCCCCATGTCTACAAAAAAATTTTTTTAATTAGCCAGGCTTGGTGGCATATGCCTGTAGTCCCAGCTTCTTGGGAGGCTTAGGTGGGAGAATTCCTTCAGCCCAGGAGGTCAAGGTTACTGTGACAGTGAGCTATGACTCAGCTACTACCCTCTAGCTTGAGTGACAGAGTGAGACCCTGTCTCTAAAAAAGAAAAGCAGCTACGTATAGAGGGAAATTAGAAAGCCAAACACACACCCAGGGCAAGGCACCTGTTGAGAAAGGTTATTGGCTTGTTTGTTTGATTGTTTCTATCTATCTATCTCCCTATCTCTCTCTTTCTTTGGTTTTGTGTGTATGTCTGTGAGTGTTTTATTGGTTTAGCTCCTGAAATTCAAGGAAATCTCTATCAAAACATTGTCTGAACACAAGCTAACACAGCAGAGATTTCAATGACCACAAAAAACAATGAATAGTCTTTGCAAAAATAGCTTGGAAAAGTGTCAAAATAGACTACTACAGCCTTCAGCAATTAAAAAAATGCTGGGGAATCTGGGCACGGTGGCTCATGCCTGTAATCCTAGCACTCTGGGAGGCCGAGGCAGGAGGATTGCTTGAGGTCAGGAGTTCAAGACC